GTGCTTAACCCTTTCTTGGCTCCTCGGATTTGTACCATGCTGAAGATCCTCACGAAAAAGCTCAGGAACCAGAGTTTGAACGAAATTCAACCTTTCCAGCTAAAGGTAAGGACAGACGGGTTTGTCTTGGTTGGTTTTTTTCCGCACTCTTCAGGTAACTGCTAACGGGGCCGTGAGAAGCTGGAAACTTGCAGTGTTTATTATGCTGGGTCAGTTTCCTCTCAGCCAGCGTGCTCAGGAGGAACTGGCCTAGGCTGTATTCCTGTTACTGAAGTCCTTTGCACTCAGAATTACCTTGCACAATTCGGATAATACAGAAAGATGAATCAAGACGGATGTATCTGCCTGTTCTTTAGAAGTTTTTACTTTTGACAGGATTTACATTTAACTGCATAGGTATTTGCCAAGTTACCTTTGTATAGGTACAATCTGTAGTCTCCCAGCCTTTGCCAGGCTAGAGCCCCAGTGTGCTAGGTACTGTACAAACATGATTTGCCTAAAATGCCTTTCAACTTGTTATTTGCATTTCTCTCCCTTCTGGTCCAGAAGGCCAGAATCTGAGCTGAAGTTTGCAGACTGGCTCATAGCATTGACCTGTGGCTTTCCAGATTCTTCTTACATCCTTTTTTAGTGTTCAAAAATAAAACTGAGGATCACAGATTCAGGATAAGGACTATCTAAGCTCTTCCTGCCAAATACATGGAGGAATTTTTGAGCCATATACCATGGGATAAAAATGGAGCTGTGATGAGCGAGTTAGGAAAAAATACCAGATCCTGACTTGGCAAAATTGTTGTGAACCAAGGGGTACCCCTGAAATCAGCAGAGTTACTCTGGATTGGCAGCAGTACTGCAGGAAGTGTAGGGCCTGGCCCCAAATCAAAGAAGGGATCTGGGAAAAGTAGCAGCCCTCGTTGCCTGAGTTGGGGGCTGGGGATCTGTATACCAGACTCTAGTGGAGTCTTTTGTATGTGTTACACAGAGGCGGATTGCCGTGTGCCTGCACTTCTGCACAGTCACTGTGGACAGACTGATGGCAACTTTGTTAGAAACTGTGCTGATGTTTCATCAAAGTTTGCTGTACTTCTTCCTCCAGGGATTGCACATTCTGTGGTTCTCAGAGCAGCCTGGGTTAGATTTTATTTTTGGAAGTAAAATAAGGGCAATGCTTTAGGTTGTAGTGGATTGATTAACTTGCAGTGTTTCTGGGCCTCGTGGCTGTGATCACCTCCTTTAGCTTATTGTTTATCTCTTGGAGCCTCAGGTTGTGAAACCGTGAGAATCTTTGGAAGGAGCTCTCAGAGGTAGCTTGGAGGCATGCAGGAAAATGTGCTGGAGTGGGTATCTGCAGCCATTTTGTTCACATTAGTGCCAAGCTTTCCTGCTGCAGACAGGTGGTCTGCATTTTTGCAGGCTAGGTAGAGAAACTTAAGCTTGCACTGTTCCTTGCAAGGCTAACACATAGCCCATCAGAGGTGTCTTTGCAGCCTGCAGTGGGGAGTGGCACAATGACTGGTGCACACGTGTATGGGCAGAAAGCCAGACGTGCAACCTCTGGGTTTAAATATGTTTAGTAGGCCTTTGGGGACCATGTGCAGCTGTCTGGTCTTGGTTGAGCCTTGTACTAGCATACTGATTGCTTAATGGAGTGTGCAGTGCTCTGTCTTAGGTGTTGGACCAGAGCTCCTTGCAAGTATGGACCCAGAATAGGTGTCACAAGTGGTGAGCAGTGTGGAAGTTTCCTGTGGCTGCGCTATGCATGTGCTTGTCAAGGCTCTACTGCCCTCAGATGATGTGGCTCTGCCAGGCACAGACCAGACTTCTGCCATATCATCCTTGGTCTGTGTCTATGCAGGTTTGTATATATCCTGGCTTGTATGGTACATGCATTATTTTGAAAGGTCCAGTATGCTGTCGTTGAAACCTAGTGAAAAGCTAAGTGTGAGCATAGAAGCAGGTCTGTAGTTCTGTAAGTGGAGAATAAGCATCAAGTTTGGATAGAGTAAGAATTGATCTGCATCCACCACCCAAATCAAGAGCCTTCTAAGCTTTAAAAATACTGTGTTTAGCTGTTCTTCCCCTTCATTACCCACTTTTAAGACCTTTGTGGGAAGTTCCCAAATTCAAGGAAACCAAGCTGCTGTTGTGCTTCTAGCTTGCAACTGTACTGCCATTAGGCAAAGTCCTGGAAGACTGTCCTTGGGTAAACTGCCAACTTTTTTTTACAAGTTGGGGGAGATTTGATCAACCTTCGATTGGCATGCAAGCTTTGGGAATCCTTTCAGGATGAAATTTCTGCCCACTGCATAATGTTGGTGCCATGCATCCCCAATTGGTTTAGTGTGGCTGTGATAGATCCTCCTAGTCTTTCCCCACATGGAGAAGCTGAGAGACTGCCATTACTTCCTGTAAGTGAAACCAGGAAATACACGAGCTTTGGGTGTCAATGTAATGGACTTCTCTTTTTCCCTACTAAAGGAAAAACTACCCTACCTTTAGGCAGTTGACAACTAAGGCTGCTCAGAGAACTTTGACTCAAGTGGTCTGGTTTGTGCTGGTGTTGCTCAGTAAGTTGGTGTCCCTTTGTTGCCCATTCACCAGAACTCACCGTGGTAGAAATGGAGGGATTGACTGTCTGACATTTCACCTGCTGTTGGGTTAGTATGCTCAGCCAGCAGTTTCTAATAAGGACGGCTGGACTGTCAAGTGTGATGGGGTTTGAGTTTGAACCCCTAGCCTTAGAAGACTGCTCACCTTGCTGTTTTCACAGAATCACAGAATTGGTAAGGTTGGAAGGGATTACAGTGGGTCAGCTGGTCCAACCTTCCTGCTCAAGCAGGACAGGATTGCATCCAGACAGTTCTTGTATATCTCCAGTAAGGGAGACTCCACAACCTCTCTGGGCAATCTGTTCCAGTGCATGATCACCTGTGTAGTAAAGGTGAACTTCCTGTGCATCAGTTTCTGCCTGTTGACTCTTGTCCTATTGCTTGGGGAAGAGCCTGACTCCATCCTCTTGATATCCTCCCTTCAGATACTTTAGTTGTTGATGAGGTCTCCTCTGTCATCTCTTCTTAAGGCTGAACAGGTCCAACAGTCTGTCCTTGTAAGAGAGATGCTGCAGTCCCTTAATCACTTTTGTTGCCCTCCTCAGGACCTGCTCTAGGAGCTCCATATCTTGCTTCTACTGAGGAGCCCAGAACTGGACACAGTACTCCAGATGTGGCCTCACCAGGCTGAGTAGAAGGGCAGGATCACCTCCCTTGACCTGCTGGCAATGCTCTTCCTAATGCACCCCAGTATCCCATTGGTGTTCTTGGCCACATTGGCACACTGCTGGCTCATGGACAGCTTGTTTTCCACCAGAACCCCCAAAGCTGCTTTCCAACAGGCTGGCCCCCAGCCTGTACTGATGCTCAGGGTTTTTCCTTACCATGTGCAGGACCCTGTGTTTGCCCTTGTTGAATGTCAGATAGTTCTTTCCAGCCTGTTGAGGTTCTTCTGGAGGGCTGAACAGCACTCTGGGATACTGGCCACTCCTCCCAGCTTTGTGTTTTCAGTGAACTTGCTGAGCAGACACTTTGCCTCTTCATCCAAGATGAACAAGTTAAACAATACTGGGTCCAGTATTGAACCTTGGGGGACACCACTAGTGACAGGCCTCCAACTAGACCCTGTGCCGCTAATTACAACCCTCAGCCAGTTCTCAATCTACCTCACTGTCCACTCATCCTGTCTACACTTCCTAAGTTTGTCTATCATGGTATTGTGAGAGACAATGTCAAAAGCATTGCTGAAGTTGAGGTAGGCAATGTCCACTGCTGTCCCCTCATCTATCCAGGTAGTTGTTTCATCATAGAAGGCAATTGGTTTGGTCAAGCATGATTTGCCTTTAGTGAATCTGTGCTGACTACTCCTGATCACCTTCTTGTCATACGTGTGGATAGACACAACCTCCAGAATGAGGTGCTCCATCACCTTTCCGGGGATTGAGGTGAGGCTGACTGTCTGGTATTTTCCTGGGTCCTACTTCTTGTCCTTTTTGAAGACTGGGGTGACATTTGCTTTCTTCCCGTCCTCAGCCACCTCTCCTGGTCTCCACTACCTTTAAAAGATGATCATGAGTAGCCTAGCTGTGGTGTCTGCTGGTTCTCGCAGTACTTGTGAATGTATCCCATCAGGGCCTGTGGACTTGTGAATGTCAAGTTTACCTAGGTGTCTTCCCATTGGACACTTGTGCCCCTGTAGCAGGGGTAGGTAAGTGTCTCCTAAGTCTGCTCCTGAGCTGTTGTGGTTTCATAGTCCAGCCTGTTGGCTTAAGAGCTTCAGCCCTTCAACCTTCAGCTTTTGTGGCTGAATTCAAGGAAGGATTGTGAATTGCAGCAGTTGTTTATTACTTTCTTTCATAGTTTTGGACTGGTAGCCCTGGGAAACCCTTTCTGAACAGTAAGTCAGGTTGATCAAGGAGCTTTCAAAATGCATATCCTGGGCTTGCATGTGGGTTTGTGATGGAGTACTGATACTGAGCCCTTAGAAGTATTCTCTAACTGACTCTGAGCTTTCTACAAATGAAGCATCTTGGTATTGGGGTTTCACACACAAATGGGTTCCTTCCAAATTTCTCTCACTCTTGTGGCCTTGCATATATGTGTAGTGGCTAAAGTGTGGGTGTCTGTTTTCTGAGCTTTGCTTGCAAGCAAACTCCTTGGGGCAGGGAGCATCTGGCTGGAACAAGTCTGTGCATTGCCAGTCAAACTAAGCCCTTAATTAGTGGCCCTAGGTGTTATCAGAATGAAACAGTTGGATTGTGATGTGTTAAAAAATTAACTGGCTGGAACATGCAGCTGAAGAATACGGAGCACTTTAAGGGTGGCATTTTCATTCCAACTTTGCTGTTGACACAAACAACTTTGGAGGCCGTACAGTTGATGTTCTAATCCACAAAAGTTGTTGAATTACTTATGTACTTGGCATATTCATTTTTGTCCTGGGCAGAGATAATTCAGACATGTTTGTCACATTCAGACATGTTTGTTGTGTGTCAATGATATGAAGTACTATGTGAGTGTTCTGGTGACAGAGAACCGCGTTTCTGATACATAATT